CCGCCCCCCGCCCCCAGACCTCCTGTAACTCATCATTCAAGAGAAACGTGGGGACTTCTAGAGTCCTAGGGCTGGAGCTGATGCCTTTCTGCTGCCCTTTCCAGACAGAGTCCCAGATGGAGGGATGGTGGGGGGGCACCAGAAAGAGACCGGTTTTCTGATGAGCCAGGAAAAAGTCATCACTGGCCCTGTCAGGCTGCAGGGGCTGGCCTGAGCAACTTTGTCTCAGCCCGCGGCTCTCCCGGGGTTATTTCCCTCTCTTGGCAGCCACAGCGCCACCTGCTGGCCGCTGGCGGAACTGTAGGGCTCACTAGGCAGAGCTGCAGAGCCAAAAGGTGGCTCTCTGCCTTTCTTGTCTTACTCAAGACCCGTCGTTTTAAAGTGTGAATTTAAGTCATCGCATTTCCTCTCCCAGGGTCATTGCCTTTTTGAGCCTTATTGTTTAAATGGAGAGTTACAGACTGCCTTCTGCTAAAAGGAGATTTAAGCTACCGGTACAGGACAGGTCTGGGGGCTCTGCAGCCTTTGGCTATTAAAGTTGCCTGCATGGTTCATGGTCCTACCCCAGCTGGCTCCCTCCTAGGCCAAGAGACGGCGAGCCTGGCAAGCTGTGCAGCTGTCCTGTCTGCTTTCCTCAAGATCTGGATCTTCTCCTTTCCCTAATCGGCATTCCAGCGGGCTGGTGAAAGTGTCGGTGTGTGCATGTATATACACGTGTGTGTGCGTGTGTGCACATGTGTGGTGCTGAGGTCTGGGCATGAGGACTCCCCTGTTGGGATGGCTTTTGAGTGGAGCCTTGAATGACAGAGCAAGCCACATGAAGAACTTGGAAAGAGCATTCCAGGCATGTGACGAGCTGGCAAGTGCAAAGGCCCTGGGGCATGCTGAAGGATAGAAGGCTGGCCAGTGGGGCTGGAGCCTAGAGAGTGAGGGGAAGCTTGCTGGGTGGTGAGGCTGGAGAGGTGGATGGAGCCAGACGAGTTGGGCTGTATGGATCATTTTAAGGATTCAGATCTTTATCCTCAGAATAAGGGGCAGCCATGTGGGGGTAGGGGGAGTGCTAATAGGACAGGATTGGAGTGTGTCTAGAAGGGATCCCTTAGGCTGTGTGGGGAGAGTGGGGGCAGAGGGCCATCATGGGTGAGGGGAGTCCTGTGGGAAGATAAGGTGGCTTGGGTCAGGGTGGTAGACTGGCTGGGTTGGGTGGATTACAGCCCTCTGCTCAAAGTGAGCTCCGAGGACCCAGTAGTATGAGCATCACCTGGGAGCTTGTAGAAACACGGGCTCCAGCCCCACCCTAGATATGTGGAAACGGAATCTTCATTTCAACAAGATCCTTGGTTGGTCTATGAGAAGCACTCCTCCCTGGGGGTCCTTCCCAGGGTCACACAGCGAGGGATGGAGCAGAGAGTCCTGGCCTTTGGCTCAGTGCCCCTCCCAATGGCATTTCCCCTGGAAGGCTGACTTCGTCGGGAGGCCCAGGAGTGAGGGGGCACCCACTAAAAGGAAGCAGTGGATCTGTAGAGGGGTCCCCCTTGAGCCTAGGATCCTGGCCTCCTCTGCAAAGCTGCCCCAGGCCTGAGGCTGCCTGGGGACACCCCGCCTCCCAGCCCAGTAGCCTCTCCCTGTGAGAGGAGCGTGGGGATGACCTGGTGAACACCCATCACAAGGAGGTGGTGTGATTAGCAGGCAGCCGGTAGATATCCACACAGCTGGAGGCAGAGTCTTTAGTGGCCAGAGTGCAGGCGTCTGGGGAGACGGTGGTGTAAGCACCATGTACTCCAGCCTGCTCCCAGCTGGAGGCGTGGGTGTCCATGCCTGCTTCCCCCACCCCCAGAGGCCCCCGAAGGACAGCAGAACGAGGATTCTGCCAGGTGTGAGATACACCCCTCGTTCACTAGGGAGTTTGGTCTCCTCCCGTCCACCCCTAACTGTTCCGGCCACCTGTAGGTGGGGATGACTATGCCGAACAGCTGGGCACATTGCTGAGTGGGGCAGGCCTGTGCCTGGGCCCGAGTGACAGCACCCGGAGTGGTCAGTGTTGAGTGTGAAGGCCCTCTGGGGGACTCTGAGGGAGGGGCTGCTGGGCAAGGGGACGGAATCTGCCCTGAGCCCCGGGGGTTCTTACTGCTCTCATTTCCACCTGCTGGAGGACAGCTGTGTCCCCTTCATCCCCGGGTTAGCAGCAGGTAGGCCTTCATGGCTCTGGGAGGGGGCGTGGCTGGTGGCAATGATGTCACAGCCTGGTGTGGTGATTAGGAGTGTGTGTGTGACTTGGGCACATTGCTTACTGTCTCTCAGCCTGCTTCCTCCCCTGTAGAATGGGGTTACTGATATGGCTTTCAGGTTCCTTGTGGTAGATGAAATGGCAGAAGTGAGCCCTGGATCAATGGGATGCTTGTTGCTGATGTTCTTGACAAAAATCATAGGCCTCAGCCTTGTTACATAGCAGCTGGACCGTAGGAGTGAGAGAGAAGGGCTGAGTCCCGTGGAGGCCCAAGGTCCGCCCAAGTGAGGTGATTAGGGCAGGCTTCTTGGAGGAGGTGTCTCATGAGTCAGGCCTCGAAGACATGGGGGAGGTGGTGGCAGGGCCTGCCCCCGTGCAGAGGGGACAGGTGGTGGGGATCTGGGAAGGGCAAATCAGGGTCGGGGTGGGAACGGAGAGCGGCTGGCCCAGGTGAGGAGTCGGTGAGGTGGGCAGAGAGAAAGCACAACGGTTGGAAAATCTTAAAAAAAAATAAACTAAAAAATAAAACCAAGAGGCTGCCCTGGGCTGGTCAGGATCCACAGCTCCTCCCCGTGGTCGCCTCATGCTGTTGCTTCTGGGAGGCTGCGGGTCCTGACCTCCGTGACAAACCCCCTTGCTGGCAGGATGTGCTGAGCCCCTGGGCATGAAGGACAACTCCATCCCTGACAAGCAGGTCACGGCCTCCAGCATCTACAGGACCTGGGGCCTGAATGCCTTCAGCTGGTATCCCTTCTATGCGCGGTTGGACAAGCAGGGCAAGTTCAATGCCTGGACCGCTCAGACCAATGATGCCTCTGAGTGGCTGCAGGTGGGTCGGGGTGCAGGGCTGCAAGGCTGGGGTTGGGTGGGATCCACAGGGTTGCTGATCTTTGACCTCCGCCCAGCCCAGGCTTGTGCTCCCCGAGAGGAAGCGTCTGAAAAGCCTTGTTTTTCTTCAGATTTGTTTTTTTCCCCCTCCCACGTGCCCCATCTTCTCCTGACTCTGCAACTCCGGAGGGGGACGGGGAGGGGGCAGAAACTCAGGGCTGCCTCCACCGAGACAAGGCCCCAAGCCCCAGACAGAAGGGGGAGGGTTGTGTGTGTGTGTGTGTGTAGCGGTAGGGCCATCCCCATCAGCTGCCACAGGGTGACAAGGCTGAGCCCATGGACAGTAGGGCAGGACAGAGGAGGGACACCTGACCCAGGCAGGCACACCTCGGGATTTCTCTGCCTGACTTGGCGTCTGAGAATACACCATTGGGGCAAGCCCTTGGATTTCATGAAATTGGGAACCAGGAGAGTCACAGAAAACTGGAATGTCCGCTGATCTTAGAGATGAGGGCACTGTCCCGGCAGGGTGAGGATTTGCCTGGGCCTCACCTGCTGGTTGGCAGCAAGCCAGGTGTGCAAGCCGGGTCTTGGGACTGCCTGTCCAGAGGCGTCTGGCAGGCTCCCCAGGATGGTCAGGGACTGGGGGCAGGAGGTTTGTCTCTCGGCTCCTGGTTGCCATCAGCCTGTGGAGCCGGGGTCTGTGAGGTGCTGCCTGCATTTGGACTCCTCCGAGATTCCTGCCAGGCTGTGGACAGCCCTGCGGGACACCTCGGGAACCGCTCCAGTGGCTCTCCCGTCCTTGTTCTCTTTGTACCGGGGGTGGGGTGTGGTGCGGATTGGCTGCGGGTTGGCCAAGGCCCAGGCTGTGAACTCTAGCTTCACTGCAGTGAAGTGTCTAACAGAGTGTGACAAAGTAGGTGACAGGATTTATGTCCATTGTATAGATGAGGAGGTTGTGCCAAATGAAGTAGCTTCCCCCAAACTAGAAGTCGGGCCCCAGCCTGTCTGCCTTTTCCCACTTTACTGGAGAGAATGGTCTACACAAAGAAAATGTGGTTGTTTTTCCCTGTAGGTTGACCTGGGCTCCCAGAGGCAAGTGACCGGCATCATTACCCAGGGGGCCCGAGACTTTGGCCACATCCAGTACGTGGCAGCCTACAAGGTGGCCTACAGTAACGACAGCATAAACTGGGCCGAGTACAGAGACCAGGGGGCCATCGACAGCAAGGTGAGTGTCTGGCCGGCTGACCTCCTGTCACCCCTCCAGGGGTGCCCTTCGAGTCTGGCCGGGGGCTCTGAGGGGAGGTGGGGGGGCTGGCTCTGGGGCCCTCCTGACAACCCCTCTGCCTCCAGATCTTCCCTGGCAACTTGGACAATAATTCCCACAAGAAGAACATGTTTGAGATGCCCTTCCTGGCTCGCTTTGTGCGCATCCTGCCCGTCGCCTGGCACAACCGCATCACCCTGCGCGTGGAGCTGTTGGGCTGTTAGTGGTCAGCCTGGCCGGAGTGACCACAAGGGCCCTGGGGCACCCGCCCCTTACCTGGTCCTCCTGGCCTGCTGTTGGCCCGCTGCCTCCTCCACCACCCCACCTCCTGACTCTCGGCGACTGGCGGTGGGGGTTTCAGCCACCTTGCCTTCCCCCCTGCCCTGCCCCTCCCCCTCCCCCTCCCCTGTGGCCCTGGCACCCACCCCTCCTGTCCTCCCATTCTCTTAGGCACCGTGGGAGTTGAGTAGGTGTGGGACACACAGGGAAGGGTAAAGTAGGGAGTGGGGGTTACCTGCACCTCCCCGGATCCCTGGTTCTAGTCTGTTGTTTTCCCAACACTCACTCCCGCACCCCACGTTCCCACGGGCCCCCAGAGGAAGCCCTGAGGCACCAGGCTGGAGGACAACAGTCTCCTGTCCCTCAGCACAATGCTGCCGCTCAGAGCTGCCACCTAGTTCCCGACACGTGCCCCTTATCTTCCTGGAGACCTCTCTTGACCCTTGGCCTAAAAAGAGACAGAATGGGGTGAGGTGGGCGGGCTTATGGAGAAAAGGGGTGGAGGTGGGTGGCCTGGTGGGGGGCACCCTCTGTGCTGGTTCTTTCCCCCCAGAGTACACAGGCAGCTTCCAAAATATATTTATGTCACCCCCTGGAACTCTCGCTGGGGTTCATCATTGCTCCGTCCACATGGGCTTTGGGCTGGGCTGGTGCTCCCTCCCCTCAGTCCTCCCAGAGGCCAGCATACTCATGTCACCTGCCAACTATGGAGAGCTGAACAGCGGGAGAAGAGAGGGGACTCCTGAGGGGTCCCACTTCCGAGTCCCGATGCCTGGCCCCTTCCCCTCTGTTCTCCCCTCCACCCCCCCCCCCGCCAGACCCATGCAGCCCCGGGCCCAGAGCTGCTGCCCAGTGAGGGGCAAGGGGGTGCCTGGCACAGAGGCTGTCTCCACGAATGCCTTTGCTCTCCTCCCAGACCGGGAGCACATTGCTGAGGCTGTTGGCTTTCCCCTTCGGCATTTTCTCTGCCTTCGGAGTGGTGGGCTGCAGAAACGACTAGAAACGCCATGAACCTGGGCTGCTTTCAGAGCTGTGGGAGGCTCCGGGGTGGGATGCAGGGTGGGAAGGAAGCGGCCAGGGCTCTGCCGAGTGGTCACGAGGCCTCCTGGCTGAGCACACTGGTTCCTGGGAGGCTGCTGGCAAGCTCCAGGGGTGCCCCTCCGCCCTCACCACCCTGCCCTCCAAGCTGATGACATCAGGAAGTAGCCAGCGAGGGGCAGTGCAGGCCAGTGCCCTGGTGATCTGGGAAGGAGACCGGCAGGGAGAGGAGAGACTGACTAGCTGGGAAAGGGGTATAGGAAACCACCCTAGTACCCCAGGCTTTGGGACACAAGGTGAATTTTCTGGAACAAACTTTGGGAGCCATGCTGTGGTACACATAGCCTCCTCTTAGCAGCAGATCCAGGCCACAGGGCTGCCAAAGGGAGGGCGTGGCTTTGCTGGAACTTCGTGGGGAAAATTAGTCTGGAAGTGGCTCCTTCCTGAGACCTGTCCTTGCCAGGGATTCTGAGCCGGGCAGGGACAGAATAAAACGGCGGTCTCTGAGTGAACTGAGGATTGGGGCTCCCTACCCATGGGGATCTTTCAGCCCACTCCTTCCTGTTTCAGAGATCTCTTCCGTGGAGCTGCATGGATTGTGTCTGGAGTCAGTCTAGAGGGGGTGGGGAGGTTTGCTGGCCTCTGGACTCCGTTTTGGGAGCATTTCCTAGCCACAACCCTGTTCTGGCCTCTCCTGGGACTAACAGTGGGAGAAGCTTCCTTCCTCCGCACCTGTGCCCTGGGATGGTTCCACCCCCCCCCCCCCCCCCCCACAGGAATGCACTGCGCCGGGACTTGCTGGAACCCAAGGAGTCCCACTTGCATAAGGGGAAACTGAGGGCTTCACTCCTATCTGTCCACAACCCCTGTTGTGGCATTGAATGTTTGTTGCGGGCCAGTCTCATCAGCTGTAGTCACAAGGCCCCCACCGGGCCCAGGAGCCCCGAGGCCACTCTGGAATGGCCTAAGCCACGCAGGCCCTTCTGCTCATCTCTGTAACCTTGGATGAGTTGGCCATAGCCTTGTCCCCCTGTGGAGAGCCTGGGGCCCTCACTCCTGACCCTCTGGGCGGCCTCCCGCACTTCCACACGCGTTCACTGTCTCCTCCCCAAATTTGCTTTTTCGTTCCTGACCGCGGTCTGGGGAGCCAGTACTGAGATGCACCTGCTGGCCAGCCCTGGCCCTGGCTGGCGCGTGAAACTTGAGTGGCTGGAGCAAAACTGACCTTCTTGGCTGTGGTCCCTCCCCCTTCACCTGTGGCTTTCAGCACTGGGACCCCTTGACCCAACTCTCCCAGGAGTCTGCTCTACTTTCTGTTCCTGGTTTAAATAGGGTGGAGTCATTAGATCTGGGCTCCAAGCGGCCTTAGGCAATTTACTTAAATCTCTCTGGGCCTCAAGTCCTTCATCTGTAAAATGGAAATAAGACTGGCTCCATGGCCTTGTGGAGGCTGACAGAGAAGATACCCGGATGCAAAGCCTGGCTCTGTGGAGGCCTCAAATACGGGCCACCTCCTCATCAGAGAAGCTTGCAAGAGTTTCCTAATTGGTACTTGAGTCTTATTTCTCCTCCAATCCATCTCCAGGCAGAGGTCAGACAGGTCTCGCCTCCTCGTGGAGGAACCTTCACTGGCTCCCTGATGCCTGGCATTTGCTTCGGCCACAGTGTACCTTCTAGTTCACTGCAGCTCTTTGTGCTCTGATGTGCTCCTGGCTCTTGTGTAACACACACACACACACACACACATGCATGCACACGCATGCACTCAGGCATTTGAAGCATTTTTTTAAATAATTTTTTATTGTTATGTTAACCACCATACATTACATCATTAGTTTTTGATGCAGTGTTCCATGATTCATTGTTTGTGCATAACACCCAGTGCTCCACGCAGAATGTGCCCTCTTTAATACCCATCACCAGGCTAACCCATCCCCCCACCCCCCTCCCCTCTAGAACCCTCAGTTTGTTTTTCAGAGTCCATCGTCTCTAATGGTTCGTCTCCCCCTCTGACTTACTCCCCCATTTGAAGCATGTTTAAGAATGGACTCTGGACTCAGTGACCCCATGACTTGTGACCCTTCTCCCGACTAGGGTTGAAGGACCCCTAGGCTTTTCTGCTGAGGGAAACTGTCCAGCCCAGGACCCCTGTTGACCAGGATGGAAACAAAACACCCTGTCCAAACAGAAGTCCTGGGAGGTGGTGCCTGCCAGATGGCTGGACAGATGTCAGGATTCTAAGGGAGGGCCCTGCCCCTGTTGGAGCACCAGTCAGAAGCCTGGTTGCCCCTGCTGGCTGCTGGGGGCACCCCTAATTTTGCCTTCCCTTCCCCCAAGACCACTGTTTCAAGCCCCTCCTACGAGGGTCAGCGTCCTTGTGCCTGACATTGAGTTAACAGTCTGCCTGGGGATTTCATGATGGCTAAACTCATGGGCAGGAGGGAGGTCAGTGCCCCCTTGCCTTATATGGGGAGGTAAGCATACAGAACGTTTACCCTTCCTGCTCCTGAAAGTGGGGGGGCAGCCATAGCCCACCTGCAGAGTGCTGGAGAGGGGCTCCCCCTGTTTAGTCCCACTGTTTTGGATAAACCAGAGTGCTCTAATGGGACCCCCCTCAATAACGCACCTCTTCCATCTCCCACTTACCCCTCTCCTAGATGTGATAGTAACTCCTGGACATTCCCTTTACACCCGGCTAGTATCTCGGTGTTGGAGCCAAGTCGGTAGCAACTCCTCCCTTTGGGCCCAGCTCTTGGGAGGGAAAGGGGCGTGTGTTCCTTTAAGGGGCTGGCCCGGCGGGAACGCGGGGGTTTGTCCGCAGCCGTTTCCTCTTGGCCATTCAAGATCCCCCAAATCCGCCCGCTTCCTGGGACCCGGACAGCCCTGGGCTGGGAGCGCTCCAGCCGTCCAAGAGCCGCCTGGGGACGGTACGTAGCTCGGGGCGGGGGGGGCCGGGCTTCTGGAGCCCCCTGCAGTCGGTGCTCTCCCGCTCCTCCCCGCTTTGGGTCTTCTGCGGGGTCCCACGTCTCCCGGGGCAGGGTCGGGGAAGCGAGCAGGAGGAGTACGCTGGGCACCGCGGGGCCGGGGCGGAGCTGGCTTGTGATCGCTCCTGGGGCGCGCCCCGGGCGCGAGTCCGGGGCGGGGGGAGGGGAGCAGCGCGGGGGTGCGGGCCGACTGGCGCGGGATCCCGGGGCGCGTCAGGAGGAGGCACATCCCCAGAGAAACCCGATGCCTCTGAGACCACCGCCCGGTCCAGCCTCTTTGCCACCGGGGCCCGCAGGATCCCTGCCCGTCTCGTGCAGTCCGGGTCCTGCAGCCTCCGGCGCCGTGCGCGGCGCGCCGGGCTCTGCCCCGCGGCATGTGTCGGGTGCTCCGGGGTCCGCGGGGGCCCGGGGGTTGGGGACAACCCACGGGGCGGCGGCCAGGCAGACCTGCGCCTCTTGGCCTCTGCCGCCCCCTCGGCTGTCCCAGGGAAAGCGCAAAGGATGCCCGTCGGTTTCAGGCCTCGGTTCGCGGGGGTTTCTGCCTTAGGGAGGGCGGCGAGTAGCGCCCTGGGTAGGAGATGGGGTCGCTCAGGGAGGCATTTAGGGCCGGTGGGCGGCCAGGAAGGAAACAGCGCGGGCTCTTGGACCCAGCTCTGTCACCAACTCGCTGGGTGGCCCCAGCAGCCTGTGTGACCCGGCCTGGACCGTGGTGCCCAGCCTGACCCCCGGGAATGCCTCTGCTCTCTGCAGCAGGGGGAGGAATGAGAGGAGCCCTGGCCTCTCCCCCGCGGCCCTACGCGGGCCAGCGGGCTGGGGATGCTCGTAGGAAACACCTCCGGCTTTCACTTTCCGGGGGCCGCAGTTTTCAAAGGCGCGTGTAAGCCTTGTCTAAACGAGGGGGCCCCCCCGAAGTCAAATTCTTCCCCGGGAGCTGGGGCTTGTGGAAACCTGGAGGGCAATGCTGCCCCCTGCTGGTGGGTGGGGGAACGCTACTCTCCGCCGGACAAGTGAGGAGAGCCTGGGGAGCCCCATCTTCCTTCCGAGTTGGGGTTCCCCTTATTCTGCTATGGGGAGGGGTCCCGAGGCAA